TTTTTTTTCTTCTTTAATACAATATTATTTTTAACATGTAAAAGACATTAATAAATTATTTTTAAAGAATAATTGTTCAAAGTTTTTCTCTTTTTTACTTATAGTTAGCACCTCTGGCAGCGGATATTATAGAAATTAATCAAGATGCTGATGGGATAATTCCTGAAGAAATTTCCAAAAAATGCGAAGAAAGACTTAAGAATGGTAGACCAATGCCAAAAGTGAGTCACAAAAGTATTGTGTCAAATCTCTTTTCAGACTGCATAAAAAATAATAAGAAAACAATTATTTATTTTCGGATCTTTATCTTTATTCGTGAAGAATATTTTACTTTGCTTTTAATTTAACCTTGCGTAAAAATATCAATACTTTCCATTAAAAGTAGATTGAAATGTCAAATAGTTCACATATTATACATGTACATAACTTATATGTATACCCAGAACACAGAATGCACAGAATATTTCTGATAAATATTTATTACTATTCATTTTTTAAAATATCATATACATATTTTATATAAAACTTTATTCAAAATATTATTAAAATGTAGATTAAATATTTTATGTAATATTTGTGATAAATACAAATAAATATTTTTAAGCAAGTATTTTTTATTTGAATTATAATGTCTTATTAAGTATTTTCATAGCATTTACTATAACATTTACAATAAATATTTCATAATATTTATAATTAATATTTACGATCTAAGCCACAAAAATATTTACAAAACATTAAAAATATTTTATGAATATTTTATAAATTTTATGCTGTCTGAGTAATTATACAAATTCAAATTATAAATTTAATTATTTCATCTCTACTCTGAATAGTCATTATCTGTCATTCATTAATCATTTATTTTAAATCGATAATTTCAAAAGTATTGTAAGTTCATTCATATAAATAACATTTTTATTTTACATTTATTTTTTATTTATTTATACAATATTTATTTTATATACAACAACTGTCATATTACTTTAAAACCATCTTCTTTCATTAAAATGATATGCTTGATTGTTGTGTAGTTACTTTATATCAATCCGACGGGAGCAAATCCTACAGGCGTCGTCATGTCGGAGATTCGACGAAGAAAAGTGTACGAATTGGCGCAGAAATACAACTTCCTGATCATCGAGGACGATCCTTACTGCTTCGTTCATTTTTTGGATGAACAACCCACGTCGTTTTTCTCCCTCGATACCGATGGTCGCGTGATTAGAATGGATTCGTTTAGTAAGACTATAAGCGCTGGATTTCGCATCGGCGCTATTACAGCGCACAAAAATATCATAAATAGATTGGTTATTCACATTACATGCTCTATTATTCATCCATCATTTTTATCTCAGGTAAAG